TGGCGGTTTCAGCAACAAGAACACCAACTCAGCGGCCTGCCCTATGACAAGCACCTTCAGGAACTTCTATTTGTCCTTCCGGACTACCAGGACCAAATCCGCGAAGATCTGGTCATGTACAGAAAGTGGCTTCTTCGAGAAATCACAGATGAAGAAGTAACCTGGGTTCGCTCCGCAGTCTCCCAAGAGATCTTTGAAGACGCTCTACTACGACAGGTGAACAATGCCTTCCGGGCTACTGCCAGATCTCCGACTCCGGCAGATTACAGCCAGGACTTTCAGAGCAGCATGGCACTTCGCTTCTATCAAATCATCAATCCGCTGCATGAGCCATTTATGAAGAACACAAACCTTTCGCAGCAGCATACAAAAGCCTCACCTTCCTGCGTCGCAGACAAGTCAAGTCTCACTTGTTAGCTCGCGAAGCAGCTATCTTAGCATCCCCTCACGGAGCGGTGAGAATGCTACCCGTGTGCGAGTGAGGTCACCTCCTGCACAGCAGCGGCAATACCGCTGACGAAGCAATCCCATCCTGAGCCTGTCAGATGTTACACTCTTATCTGATCTTCTGCTGGCAGCTGCATGAAAGCCAAAAGATGATGCTCTTGCTGCCTGCACACATGCCAGCCTCATGCGCCGGAATACAAACAAAGGCTGTACGTCTGCAGACTTGCCAGCTGAGGTTGAAGACCAATCTTGCAGCAAGTCGCGACCCAACTACACAGATCTCCACTGCACAGACGTCGGAGCATAACCGGACTTATATCAGGCCCTGCACGTCCGAAATGAAATGACATGAAATAATGTTGTTGTTGTTGTTGTTGTTGTTGTTGTTGTTGTTGTTGTTGTTGTTGTTGTTGTTGTTGTTGTTGTTGTTGTTGTTGTTGTTGTTGTTGTTGTTGTTGTTGTTGTTGTTGTTGTTGTTGTTGTTGTTGTTGTTGTTGGTTGTTGTTGTTGTTGTTGTTGTTGTTGTTGTTGTTGTTGTTGTTGTTGTTGGTTGTTGTTGTTGTTGTGTGTTGGTTGCTGCTGGTTGTGTTGTTGTTGCTGCTGCTGCTCTGCTGCTGCTCTTGCTGCTGCTGCTGCTGCTGCTTGGCTGTGCTGTTGTTGTTGATGTTGTTGTTGTTGGTGGTTGTTGTTGTTGTTGTTGTTGTTGTTGTTGTTGTTGTTGTTGTTGTTGTTGTTGTTGTTGTTGTTGTTGTTGTTGTTGTGGTGGTGGTGGTGGTGGTGGTGGTGGTGGTGGTGGTGGTGGTGGTCGTCGTCGTCGTCGTCGTCGTCGTCGTCGTCGTCGTTGTTGTCGTCGTTGTTGTTGTTGTTGTTGGTACTCCTCGGGGCACCCGTTGTTGGCGGGGGGGGGGTTCCGTTCTCTCATGTTGCCAGAAGCCAAGAGGAACCGGCAGAGCCTCCGTCGCTGGCTTTTGCGGAGCTTGCTTCGGCCATGCGAGAGGACGGGGGGACGGTGTGGACGGTGTGGGGCAGAACGTGAAGGGCAGCATATGCCCATCTGCAGAGGCACCCAAAGCTGGGCTGGTGATCTCCTTGCCCGCGGGTTCAGGACGCAGAGAGTCATCCAATGTCAAATGCCGAACCTTTGCCCCGGAGATGGCTCGATGGCTCTCCAGGTGTGCCATCAGCACGAGCTGGCCAAGATGTGCCCGGCCACCAAGATTCCAAAACACCTTGGCATGGCCCACCCCCCTGTTTCTTGAACACTCATATGATGTGCATGAGCGGAGAGGAATGGCCGGCTGTCCGAGCTCCTCGGCAAGCTCGAGGACCAACCCTCGTCCCATCTCACGGCTCCCCTTTTCTCCGTCTAAAGTTTTTTGCCATTTCTTTTCGTTTTCTTTTTCTGGGGGGGGGGGGGGATTTTGAAGAGCTGGTGGAGTTCGATTTTCCTTTTCCAGGAAGCGGCAGGGGCGCTTCAGGCCTCTGGAGTCTCACCAGCGAAAGCCCCGAAGACCTCCCGGCTCGTGCCTTGGGTGCCTGGGGTGCCTTGGGTGCCTTGGGCGCCTTGCGGACCTGGGCCCAAAGCCGCGGCGAAGCGGGCGAGGCGGGACATGGCGAACTCATAGCTTCTCAACAAGCTGTTCCTTTCAGCGACTTTTGGGATGCTCTTCGTTCGTTCTTCCCCCCCCCCCCCGCCCGAGCCCTTGCCGAGGACGTGCGCCTTCCTCTAGCCCAGCGGGCTGCCGGTCAGAAAGCAAAAGAGAGGGCAGACTAGTCACTCGGGCTTTCGCCTGACCTTTCTTTGCGATGAGCAGAAGGGGAAGTTGAGCGACGTTAGTTCGAGCGGATTTTTTTGAGCTGCTTCCCCCATCTTGGCTCGGCCCGGCCCATCTTGTCGCAATATGCGGAGGGCTGTCTAAGAGCAAAGTGCCGGGCGTTCGAAGGACGGGGATTTTGTGAGCAGATGCAATTTCAATAGCGGGGATGGGCTTTGTTGAAGCAACGTCTGCACAATGCCAAAGGCCATGGCTGACCGGGGTGAGCTCCGGCGACGGGAGGACGACCTCAACTTTGGTCGGAACCTGAGCACTCTTGCTGAGCACCCTTCAGTCTGTAACAAGCAAGGTGCAGTGGTTGAGAGCGTGGGCCAAGCGTGCGCCCAGCAAAGAGTGAGTTTTCAAAATTTTCAAAGCAGTTTGTCAAAAGCAGTTCTCTTGCAGGGCTCTCGGGACAGCGAAGCGACGGCCAGTGACGGTAAGCCCAGAGCGCTTCGCACGTTGTGGTCATGCCCGTCGCTGCAATCGCGCAAGGTATCCCTGTGGCTGCTGGGCCTGTTGCTTGCGGCCTTCGCCAAAGGCCAGAAGCAGTCTCAACCTCAATTCTAAAAAAACTCGAAGCCCCATTGGACTTGCATCAGAGCTTACAAACACGCCCTTGATATCAAGCCCAGTGAACCTTCTCGAACATGACTGCCATTGCCACGGGTGAGCACACGTCCAGATCGCTGGCACCTGCAACCGGCACGAACTGCTCTCTCGGCACTGCCGTCCCATCTCCCTCACAAACATCTCGGAATGACAAGGCATTCACCTTACACCTGGAATCCTACTTTCCTTGTCTTCTCAGGAGCCCTCTGGAGCTAAGGCATTCGATGCGTCGTTACTAGCACATTTCGTGCCATCAGAAGTGCCCATGGTCCATGTTGGTTTTTTCCCACACTTCTTGACTTAGTGTTATTCTTTGTCACCTCAAGTCCGAAAATCCTGGACCTGAATTATTGAATTTAACAGAGCCGTGCAATCCCGTAATCTTATGCCTCGAAGCCAGCCCCACAAAGCCAGCAGCGAAAGACCCAAAGCACTGAATGAGAACAAATCTGCCACCGCGTCTGATGATGTCTGATGAATCCGACCACGTCACGCGAGAAACCGGGCAAAGTAAGGCGCCAGAACCCATGGTGAGCTAAACAGGCGCTGGAGGGCAGTCGGGCCCAAGCCCTAAGCATCTGGTCTTCGAAAGCGACACCGCAGGTCGAGAAGAAACAGACGTGAGAGCAGCCGACCCGTAAATGCGAGACCTTGGGAAGGAAGCCCTTTCTCGACGAGCGGTAAAGGCTCGGCATGTGTCAGCTTGATGAGTACAGAACTTAGATCTTCTGTCGCTTATGTGGAGAACTCTGTCACCTTATTGTTGTATCTCTCCCCGCAGCTGGGGGGGGGGGGGTGCGGGGCCCGGGCGGGGTGTAAGTGGAAGGGCGGGAAGGCGGGAAGACCAGATCTTGGTCTGCTTGTTCCAGGCGCCAGAAATCTGTCAGCGTTGAAGGACTCGATGTGAGTTTTGCGCAGCGAACAAACGCAGACCTCCCAAAGTTCGGAGTTCTTGAGAGGCTTTTCGGTGGACGAGGTGACCGAAGAAACCTATGCCCTGGGCCTCCGACAAGCACAGGCGCATGGGCAATCTCTTCGCCAAGCTGTTGTTGGGCTTCTCCGACATGGGGTTCTGGCACAGTTGGTCCAATATGTCAATATGTGTTCTGTGTGGATTCCGGCTTTTGTCTTAAGAGCCGCCGGGCCTCGTCGTCTGTCCAGCTCCGAAAAGGGGTCTCTGCTGGTTTTCCCGGTTTGATTTTTGCAGGGGAAGCTTGGGTACTTTGCTTTGTGGTTGACAAGCAAACTTCCCAGGAAGCAACCGCCACCCAATTGCTGACCTGCAGAAACACACAGCACATATGGGCAGATTTTGCACTCACACTGTTTCTGCGGCCGCAAGTGTGCACGTCAGGAAGTGCAGGACCAGGAGCTGGTGGCTGCCCTGAGGCATTGCAGGGCACGCCATCGCATTTTCTTTTCGCTTCTGAACATGAACAGCAAATAAGCAAAGCTTAGCAAATACGTTAGGTTTGGTTGACACCGGGTGTCTATCCTTGCGTTTCCTGGTTTCAAGAACCGTCACACGAATCTCCAGACCCATTCGGTCCTTCGAACGTTGAAACCTGCATTAGCACTAGGCACGATAACACAGATCCGACGCTTCGAAACAGTTCCCAGCTTTTTGGGGCTGCGTTTAAACAATCTCTGAGAATACTCTGACAGTTGAGAGTTGCCTGTTCCAGAGCCCCTGCTCACCGCCCTTCTCTCCTCTCTTTGTTGCTCTCTCCTTTTGAGGACCATGCGGAAGGCCGAGGCCGCTGGAAGCAGCGCGTGTTCTCTCGGTGTTTAGTGAGTTCGTGTGAAGAGGACAAGTACTACAACTCCAAGGGCTGGCATCGGCCCAAGTTCGGAGAGGACGCGATTTGCTTTTCCCGTTTTCCCCGAAAGCCTCCCCGAAAGCTTTTTTACCTGCAGAGCATCCCCGCCACCCTCAGTCGTGCGCAGTGTATCTCCCTGTGCCATCAGAGACCATCAGAGATGACCCCAGCGTTAACTGTAACTGTTAACTTGCCTTGGCTTTCGGCGTACAGTGAGGATGGGCGGTTTAGGTGACCTCGCTTCTATCGGGATCTGAGGTTCTGGAGTTGTGATGCCAATTGCCAACGCGCCTACGACAAATACACCATGGCCAAGAACGAGGCCGACGGCTCCAGCGTGCACTTCGGAGCATCACGTGGCACCTCCAGGCAGAAAGAGTGCAGCAGAAAGTCGACCGGATCATGAGAGATGCGCGAAGAGAGGTGCAGCCTCTCGAAGCCTAGACATGTGTTGCTGGGCTGCTGTGTGCACCCTGACTTGTCTTCGTACTGCGAACAGTGTGAGGTGGGCATCTGGTCAGTCTTTGGTATCCAAGAGGCAATTTGCAGCGAGCTGAGGCACTGCTTGCATCCACCCTTTCTGCAGGTGCGGGACAGATTCTGGGCGGCATGGCAGTCTGGGAAGGATCTGGCCATGAGGTGTGATTGGCATCTGAAGAACCGTTGCCTTTTTTTAGACTGTTGTGTCCTTACCCTCCGCCACTCCGCCAGCAGGTATACGATGCTTGGCTCTTGGAGAGAAGGGGCTTGAGCCTCCAAAGACTCTGTGGGTGGACCGGCGCCGCTGAGGTTTGACGCGGTGTTTATGATGATTGGCGGGAAGGAGGCGCGGTTTCTGTAGCACGTGCGCGGGGCGAGGTCTTTTGAGAGCGGGTGAGGTGGGAGCCCCCCAAAGCCAGCCACAAGCCCTAGTGCGGCCCTAGGAGACCCTGGTGTCCGTCTTGGTGAAACTCGCAGTCCAGCATCGGACTCGGAGCTTCCTGAATTTGCAACACTGCAATTCCTCTCGAAAAGCCGACTCCCAGGTATGCAGCGAACCTCACCCTCGGCCTAGTCTCAGCATTCTTCTTCTTTCTGTACCACGTCTATCAGCTGCTCGTGAACTACGGCGAGGTGCGGGAAGGGTGGCCTGCAAGACAGAGACCCGCGAGCTTTCCCCGAAACTGGCATGACTATCATTTCTCTGTGATGCAAAAAGGGGGTGACCAGACGTGTCCGCTCCATCCTGAACAGTACTTGAACAGCATGAACAGACATTGTGCTCCGGATTTTGTCAAAGCCTTCCCCAAAGGCCCAAAGTCTTACGGAGGACGCAGCCTCGGGTCTGGCTTTCTTCCTGCTGGTGCTCGTCGCCTCCGCCTCCCTGGACCGGGGTCCTGGAAAGGGAGGAGAAGCATTGAACAAAAAGCATCGAAAAAAGCATTGCTCGACACCAGTGTTCTTTCTTCCTTTCTTCCCTCCCCTCCCTCTCCGTCTCTCCCCGTGTCCTCCCCAGCCTCTCCACCCCCGCGTGTAGATCGGGACATACCTCTTGGCCATCTACGGCGTCGTCGCGGGCGGCGGGCCAGGATCCAAGAGAGTTTCTTGTTTTTCTTCCACGTCATTCCCCTGTGAGTCTTTTTTGTGCAAAAGACTCCCATCAGTCAGTGAAGCACGCTCTCACAGAAATTCACGGGTAGAGAAAGTCTTTTCTCTGTCTTTTTTTTGAGGCTCTGGGTGCTGAAGCAGGCCACACGGGAGGCTCTCCGTGAAGGTGCCCAGCCTGGGGCCTGGCATGGCCTGATCTCTCTCGACTTCTCGACTCTTACAAGTGTAAGTCTTGTAAGACTCCGTCGTTTCCACTTGTCACCTGAGTGAGGCAACGGCCAAGGCAAGTCCAGTGCCCAATTGCCGCACCAGCCTTGCATAGCTCTTCGCAGCCTTTCGTGCGGTTCTTCTTCATTTTTTCTTCTCTCCAACACCCGCTCTCTGGAAGGTACGGAGGGCGTGTGGGGGGCTACAGGCCGCACCACGACTGAACTCGAAGTATCTCGAAGGCTGCAGGGTTAGCGCAACCCTTGGCCGAGTCTCACCATCGCATCGCACAGATTCTGGGGGAAACAGACAGACGTGAGTGGACCCTTGCTCTCTCACTCTCTCGCTCTCTCACCCTCTCACACTCTCTCACTCTCCTGCACTTTTGCTCGGACTAAACCCTACAGGCTCCTGCCTGAGGGCCTTAAGCTTCACGCGTTGTAGGCGTTGCCAATCTCTGTCCCGGAAGACCCCAAGGCCAAAGTGAACACGTTAAGTTCGGCGAACGTTATGACCTTCCGCCCCGAAACTCCAATCTCAAAGTGTACATGTCAAGCTTGGCCCGTTTTGTGCTTCTCCGTCCCCCCCAAGCTCAAAGTGTTGCGTGTCAAGTTTCTTCTTTGCCCCGGAAATCTCCGCCGCTCTGTGCTTTTCTGTCCCGGAAGCAGCCCAAAATGTACAATGTCAAGCTGTGGCCTGCTTTTCGAGCTTGATCGTTGTTGTGCAGTTCCCAACGACAGGTGCAACCAAACCTCATGCTGACGATTTCTTCCTGGACCCGACGAGCTCTGTCGAAACAATGCACAGCCACGTGAAGCACTTAAGAATTAGACTTAGTTCTTGATCGTCTTGTCTTCGAGATTCGTGAGGTTTCTATTCTGCCAGTTCGTGCTAAGCCCATTTTCGGGGTAAAGGATAAAAGGGGAGAGTCTGTGAGTCCACACCCTGATGTAGAGTTCATGGCGCGTGGCACTCATCATCTCCTTGTTGGCGTGTAGGGCTTCACATTCATATCCTTTCAGGGTTCAGGGGCTTCAGGGTTTAATGGTTTCTTTCGGTAGCCCCCCCCCCCCCAAAGATCCATACTTTTATGCTTCGTTGTACGTCTTGGCTAATTTTTCTCTTCTGTTGTATGTTTTCCTTATGTTTGTTGTTAAATCTATGTGTTTCTCGTTCTTGAAATATTGAATTTGAATAAGGGTCAGCATTATTGAAACCCTTTTTGAAATATTGAATTTCAATAAGGGTCGGCATTATTGAAACCCTTATTGAAATATTGAATTTCAATAAGGGCGGTCACTATTGAAACCCTTATTGTAATATTGAGTTTCAATAAGGGCGGAACTAAGAACTAAGAACTAAGATTGCCAGGGACTCCTGATCCGAGTTCTTAGTTCCTAGTACCGGCGTATAAACGTATTTACGATACATAAACACCCCTGGAGAACGTATTTTCCCAACACTGGTGCATGCAGAACCGCTGTACGAATGCATCGCGACGGCGCAGAAATCATTGCAGTTTCATGTTGCATTACGGTTGATCCCCTAACCCCCTTAGTCGCACAGCTGCTTGGCAGCAATGCCACTGTTAAGTCTGCCTTGTAGTTGAGCTAGGTGTATCCCCCAGGCACCCCTTTCTGCAACCCTTTCATCAATGTCTTTGCAGTTACATAGCGGCGCCCACCATGCCATCACGCGTTGTAAGCTGCCGGGTCATCTTTCCCCTCAGTTGCACTGGCTCTGCAACCGTGGCAACGAAGGAAAAAATGAAGGTTCAAGTTAAATCACAGCAGTCAAGCAAAAGTCCTGAATTCAGGGTAATGAAAGCAACAGTAAATGTCCAGAGGATGCTTAATTTGGAGCCCTGATCACAAGTATCTACAACAAGTAGGTTGGTTTTGATTTTCCCACTCCAGCGCGCTCTTCTACTGCTCTTTCAGATACTTATATAGAGTTGCACGGTTTGTGCTGAACACTTACTCTATTGAAATTCAATATTTCAATAAGGGTTTCAATAAGAGGTAACCCTGGAACTAAGAATCCAGACCTAGCCTTATTGAAATTATTAAATATTTCAATCAGGGTTTCAATATTGCCGACCCTTATGGAAATTCAATATTTCAATAAGGGTTTCAATAAGTGGTATCCCCAGAACTAAGAATCCAGACCCAGAGTGTCTGACAATCTTGGTTCTTAGTTCTTGGTTCCGCCCTTATTGAAACTCAATATTTCAATAAGGGTTTCAATGCGAGGTAGCCTTCAATCTTTCAACCAAGATAGCAAAAAGGATTGCCCCTCGCTCCCCCTCCTCTCCGCTCCGCTCCGCTGCGCTCTCTGGTTGTCTTGTAAGGGCTTGTTCAAGGCTTATCTTTGAAACCTTATCGGTTAAGGGATCAGGATTCGAAAGAGAAGGCCCGAAACTCTATAGGGTTTAAGGCTTTAATCCCTAAGCCTTAATGCCTCTAGGGTTTAGGCTCAAACCTTAAACCCTGAACCTTTTAATCATACATAGGGTTTCAAGGTGAAGCCATTAGACTTAAATCCTTAGCCATGACCCTTTACACCCCATAGTGAAGGTTTAAAGGTTTAGGGTTTAAGGTTTCGGCAGTTAAAACTAAGCCGGCAAGTAAATTCAGCAGATTGTGTACCGGCAGCTCCCATTGGAGTGCTGGCACTTGTCAACCCACTAACCCCACGCTCTTGCGGAGTTCGCGCTGGATCCTTTTCCATGGCAGGGCTCAGAGCTTAGATCTCTTCTACGGACTTTACAACACAACAACACGAAGCAACCAACAACCACTCAGGTTTCTAGCTCCCCTGTACACTATACAAGCTAGAAGACATCTATACATACCCCGAACCTATCTATGGGGGAGGAAGCAATCCAAACTGCGTAGGCTTCATCTACTACACACACTTTGGCCCACCACACGGACGCGGAATCTGAAAAATGACCAACTAAACCTCCAATCACAACCAGCCAATCGTGATACGCGAGTGAGCCTTCTTTCGATTTAGGCTCTGCCAACACAGGGAGACTTTCGACGCCTGGCTGCACTGCTTCGGGCTTTGTAGGGGAAATACTTTCATCACGATCTTTTCCCTTAACAACCCCGGCCACGGTGTTGCATTCCTGCAAGGATGGCATCACGTCCTGATGGGCTTGTTGGCTGGTGCTGCGGGGGTCTTTGGGTATCCCGGGAACGAATCCCGACCCGCTACCCAAACCCAACCCTGCAGGCTGCGCTTCAAGCTCCGCTCTGAGTCGCTCATTCTCGGCCTGGATCCTCTCCATTGCTACCCGGCTTCCGTCATCAGTGCACGCATTCCGGCCAATTGTCTGGCCACCTCAGCCTGAGTGGCATCATGCGGGAGTGAAGATGACTCGCCTTGCGACTGAGGGCCTGATGAGTACAACAGCGGGGCATGCTGCTCCATAGCTGCCATTTGTTGCACCTGTGCCTCAATAAACAACGGCGTTCCAACATGATCCATCCGGCCTACCGTGTTCGGCGGCTGAGTGTGGGCATGCGGCAAAGCTCTTCTGGGAGGCGACGGACAGGGAGACTGAATGAGAGGACTCGGCATCCAAGCAGGCGGGATTGTCTGCACAGATCCACCACCGCCAAACAAGGACTGCACTCTTCCAAAGAAGGTCTGAGCCGAGGCTTGCGTGACAGCGGACGCACCATGTCGCCACACCTGGACCCTGTGCCTCCCCAGTTGCATCACCATGCACCCCACTCGCATCAACGACATCTCCTGTCCGGACTTTCCTGTGGCAGCTGAGGGAATGGCGCCGAGAGAGCTGTGGAAGACGTTGGCCCTGACGACGCACTGATCATCGTAGTTTGCTGAGCTTCACCCCCAGTGGACTGCGTCAATCCAGTGGACTGTGGCTCACCTCCTGTCACTGCTGTTGAACCATTGACCATCGTCGTCGATTCATTTCCACATCCCAGTTCATGCTGAGTTGTCGAAGACGAAGTCGCTGATCCACCTGGCCCTGGCCCTGGCGTTGGGCTCATCACCTGCTGAAGCGCAGGTTCAGCAGATTGTGTACCGGCAGCTCCCATTGGAGTGCTGGCACTTGTCAACCCACTAACCCCACGCTCTTGTGGAGTTCGCGCTGGATCCTTTTCCATGGCAGGGCTCAGAGCTTAGATCTCTTCTACGGACTTTACAACACAACAACACGAAGCAACCAACAACCACTCAGGTTTCTAGCTCCCCTGTACACTATACAAGCTAGAAGACATCTTTACATGGCTCAAGAAGGTTTCTTCGTAGCCTTCTCCTAAGCCAGAGCACGACAGAACATAATACATTTGCTACCTGCAGGCTCTCTAGCTACTGTACAAGTGGGCCCAAACTAGTTGGCGCTGCAGACTGCAACTGCGTACGACTGACATGCTGGAGTATTTTCAACATACACCCTTAACCTTAAAACCCTGGGGTTAAGGGGGTTAAGGTTGCGAGGCTAAGGGTTTCAGATTTAAGCAGTCAAGCCTAAGGCCGTAGAGTTTAAACCCGAAGTGTTTGGGCTTGGGCGTTGACACGTTGACCCTAAACCCTTTAGGTTCACGAAAACCCTGTAGGGCTCTAAAAGGTTCAAGGGTGTTAAGCCTACAGGCGCTGATGGTATACTTGCCCAGACCTTATGCTGTTTAAACCATTTAGCCCTATCGGGCCGGGCTAATGGTTTAGGGCTTTTCAGGGTGT